GATGTTCCGGTAGGAGCAGGTGTTCGCTCAAGTGAAGAATGAATTTTAGGAACAACAAAGATCAAGAGCAGAATGCATTTATTGAGAGAAAGAAAGCTGTCTGCCTGTAATATTCCTATCTAACTCAGCTGCCTATGACACTTACACCATGGCTTTGGTGACGGAGCATCTTGGTTTCTGGTCTAATCCATCTAAGACCCTGATTCTTCAGTTTTCTGATATCTATATGGTTGAATCCAAAGCAACTCACTGAAATGGTTTTAATTCTTTAATTCTTTCTCTTCCTCTTCCTCCTCATTTTTTTTTTTTTTTTTTTTGTACCAGGAATCGAACTAAGGACCTTATACTTGCCAAGCAGGTGCTATGCCACTAAACTGTATCCATGGCCCAGTTTTAATTCTTAAATTTTGCTTTGTTTTGTTTTTTGAGACAAGGTCACCCTATGTAGATCAGGCTGCCCTTGAACTCACGATGTAGCTCAAACTGGTGTAGAATTCTCTGAGATCCTCCTGCCTCAGCCTCCTGAGTGCTGGGATTATGAGCATGTTCCATCACTGAAGTACTTTTTAAAGTCTTCCTACTTCCTCACTTGTTGAAGCCAGTGGAGTATGCTGGCCACCCCACCCTCCGCAATTCACTTTCCTCTCCAAGAATCTGGCTTCTCCTGCAGGCTGAGAAACCCCTGCCCAGCCTTGGCTGTTCCCCAGATAGGCCCGCCCAGCCTTCCTGAATGAATGCTCTCCCTTCCCCTTAGGCTTAGCTTTGTTTTTTTTTTTTTTTTTTTTTAATTTTATTTAAGGAGAAAAGAAAAAAAAAGCAGGGAAAGGGTACAAGTTATACAGATTTACAGAAAAAAAATGAACAGTAGGAAATCACTAGTTAATGGATTACATATTGTCATCTTAGAAATAATTGTTCAAGTCACAAAATTAGAGCTTGTAAAGTGGACATTCCATCAATGATACTGCAAACAGTTCTGTTCATTGATCCAATAAAACTCTGTGATATCATTTTCTATCTTATACACTTAAATATACATGCAGTTATATAGTTTGGAGCACTTTCTTTTCTTCTCTTTTGTACCATGACTATTACACATTTTGGGTTTCATTGCTCCCACGGTTCTTATTACTTTTTTGGAAGAGAGTAAAACCAAATGTGACATAACAGAACAGAATCGGTCAAGTCAAAAGGGTGGACATAATAGATAATGTAAAAACATAATACAAGGTGATCAACAATGGTTACCATAATGCCTCCTGCTATCTCTAATAGAATTGCCTATATCATTAGTTATAATACAATTGAACAAAACAGTAAAGAACAAAACCGACAAAACCAAAACATTGGAGACATTGTAGGTCTTCAAAAGTAGACAAAAGTCAACAAGAATGGGCGTCATAATGAATCTCATTATCTTCACAGCTGATGCCTAAACTTTCGAACCTGATACTATCCAGCAAAACAGAATAGGGGAACATCAGTTAAAAACCAGATGGTGAGAGTAATACAGGGCTTTAAATCAAGGTAATGAAAAGTCAAAGTGGGTTACTATAATATATCCTGCTATTTTTTTCCCTTTAATTAAAAGGATAAAGATAAAAAAGTAGATAATGGAGTGGAGATTGAGATAAAAGAGGGCATAACAACGAAACAGCGCAGATCAAAACATAACCATTTAAGCAGAATAGTGTTTCACCACCAGATAATCCTAACCTAAAAGTAGTTACCATATTGTTTCTTTCTTTGAAATCCTTGAGTACAACTTCGTATACTGTAGCATTAAGTATATCAAAACAATGTAAAACCATTCAAGAGAATGACAGCATTACAGAGTATTTAGAATCGACTAACAAAATGAACAATGGTTTCTGTATAATCTCCTTGTCTTTAAAAGGTTTTTGCTTATACTATCGTACATAATAAAATCCAATAAGATACAGCCTATTTAGACCATTGGAGACAGAAGGACAAAAGCTAGATGAGACTTCAAAACAAGATGATACTAAATCTGTATTACCTATTAAGATGTCATTTTCTCCAAAATAGCTGTTCCTATCATCCAATCTTCTCTGCCTCATTTCTGTTAAGCTCTTTTTCTGTCCGTAGCTGTCAGTTTGTCTTCTTCATTTTGTTCTCTGCTCCATTCGTTGTGGCCTCTCTGCCATTATTTCTGGATTCTTTGTATTTTTCTTTTTTTAGAATATCCTGCAATGCTCTCTGTAGAGTTGAATTGGTGGTTGCAAATTCCCCCAGTTCCTCTTTATCCTGGAAGCACCTTGTTTTTCCATCAATTTCCAGGGACAGTTGTGCAGGATATCTCAATCTTGGCTGGAGATTATTATCTTTCAATGCTTGAATTATTTCCCCCCACGCTCTTCGTGATTTGATGGTTTGTGCAGAGAAATCTGCTGTAATTCTGATGGGTGTTCCCTTGTAGGTGGTCTGTTTCTTGTCTCTTACAGCTTTTAATATTCTGTTCTTGTATTGAATTTCTGGAATTTTTATTATTATATGCCTGGGTGTTGCTCTGTTTGGGTTGTAGGTAGCTGGGGTCCTGTATGCCTCATACATCCGAGTATCTTTACCTTTTGCTAAATTAGGAAAATTCTGGATTATTTCTGTGAGTAGCTTTTGTAGTTCACTTGTTTGTGTCCCTACTTCTTCTTTTATGTTCTTAATCCTTAAGTTATGGCTCCTCTTATCATCTTCTTGTCTTTGTATTATTGCTGTTTGTTTCTTTGTTATTTTTAAGAAGTTTTTCATTTCATTCTCCCATATTACAAGTCTGCCCTCCAGTTCAGATAGTCTGTCCTTAGTTTCTTTCAAGCTGTTATGCCAGTCTTCTATAGACTTCTTAGTATCTTGGTAGTCCCTTTGAACCTGCTTCACGTATTCTATGCTTTCTCTGTTTTCTCCATCAAACAATTCTCCCCTTTTTTTCTGTTCTTCCATTCCACCACCTGTTTTTTCTTGGGTGGTACTTAGCATTTCTCTAACTATTCTGCATACTTCTAGCTTCAGGTCATTGATAACTTCATTCCTGAATTGGTCTATGAGGCTCTCTATATGGTGCCTTATGTGTATTGGTGTGGTGTCTGCTATTGCCTGTTTCTCAGAATTGGGGGCCGAGGAGCCTTTCTTGTTGCTGCCTCTTCCCATGCTGCCTCTTCTTCTCTGTTCCTTATATATGCAAGCTTATATAAGAGGCCCAGCTTCTCTCCCAGTCAGCCACAGCCTGATCGAATTGCGCCAATTAGGTGTTCCCGCTCACTGCTGCGCACCAGGGAGTTACGGACCAGGCAGCCTACGCGTCTCCCCTCCCGGCCACCGTCAGGCTCTGGGATCTGTGTTGGGACAGCCTACCAGGTCCGCCGGCAGCGTCATGCAGGCCAGGCACTTTTCACCAATCCCGCCCGAGAGGGGGATGTGTGGCTGGAGTCCCACTGCGCCCTGCTCCCGCAGGACTGCTTGGGCCCAGAAAGTCCTCCGCTGGAGTCAAACTGTGGTAGAGTGTCAGTTTCTCTCACTCACCTCACCACAAGTCAGTGCACACCTCCCTGCCGTTCGCAGATTGCCGTTCTCAGAGCTTCCGCGCGTCTCTCTCCTTGCCGAGCCACTGTAGAGGCAGCCAGCCGCCGCGCGGCGGGAAACCCAAATCGCGGCTTACAATGGCGCGGTTCCAGCCTCCACACCAAGTCTTTTCTGTTCCTGTTTTAGCACCAGGACTGCATTCCAAGTTGGCTTCTCTCAGCCCAGTTCGTTCCTGAGTCAGCAGAGCATATCTCCACCGACTTATGTCTCCTTAGTCCGCACCATTCCTGGCTTCTGAGCCGAGTCTTTCAGAGAGCCTCCGGTAGTTGCTGTTATCTGTCCGCCATGTTCTCCCGGAAGTCCTCAGGCTTAGCTTTGTAAAACTCATCCCCACTCACACTTGCTCATTCAGAAAGCACATATGAGTTTAACAGAATATCTGACCTCTCAAAAACAGGAAGAGTGTGAAGGCCTAGCTCAGCCCTGAAGGTTTGTGAGCAGGAAGAATTCCAAAGAGTGTCTATCAGTTGGGCCTGGTGATTCGCTCCTGTGACTGCAGCGCTCAGGGAGGCTGACGCAGGAAGGGCATGCGTTCAAGCCCGTCCTTGGCAATTTAGCAACTTGGTGAGGCTGTCTCAAAATAAAAAGTAAAGGAGTCAGTGGGGGCTAGGGAATGTACTTCAGTATGAAGGCCCTGGGTTTAATCCCCTAGCACAGCAATAAATAAACAAATATTTCCACAGAGCCTGTGAAGGAAGATGAGAGAGCATTACACACCTATAATTTCAGCACTTAGTGAGGCCGAGACAGGAGGATCCCAAATTCAAATCCTGCCGGGGTAATTTAGCAAGAGCCTGTCTCAGCATAAAAAATTAAAAGGGCTGGGGATATAGATCAGCAGTAGAGGCTCCTGGGTTTGAACCCCAGTACTGCCAATAGTTAGATAAATAAAGTAAACAAACACACTTTGGTGGGCCTTTGTAAATCAGACCTCAGATGCTCTCGCTCAGCTAAACCTTTGAATTGGGCAGCAAACACACCCTATGCTGCTGACCTTTGTAACCCGGGTAACCTCTGCGGCTGCTGCTAACTTACAGGAGGGCGCCGCCAAGCTGGAGGGGGAGGGGGCGGGACCTGCCAATCACAAGACCCCGGCGCCAGTGACTCAGGCCGGAAGGCAGGAGTTCTGGCAGACTGGAACCCTCCAGAGCCTGCGATCATGACTCTTCCTTTTATTTCTTCCGCTTTTATTTTTGCTCTTTTTCTCCTTTCCTCTTCTGTTAGGCCCAAGTTGCTCTGCAGAGTGAGTCCTCTTAACCTTTCACCTTTCACCTTGGAAACAAACTTTTGGCGCAGCTTTTGGCTTCACTAGTCCAATTCTTTGCTGGATGCAAGAATACTTTCGATCGCGGAGCGATTCTTTCTTTTTTTTTTTTTTTTTCTTTTTCGTTTTTTATCGGTACCAGGGATCGAACTCACGACTGTCTGCTTGCAAGGCAGGCGCTTATGCCGCTGAGCTAAACTCCCCAACTGCAGAAAGACCCACAGACCACCACTGCACCCAGTGGTGTCTCAGAAGACAGCTGAGCGCCATCCAGCTCCAGCCACAGCTCCCAGGAGCGCCGGATTGCCAACCCTTGCCGGTTACAGCTGTAAATACAGCCACTGTTCTGTAAAACCTCCGAACACATTTTCTAGATTACCTGAGTTTGTGTTTCCTGGTTTGCAATCTGAATTCATCTAAAATAAATGTAATCTTTTCTATTCTGAACTGTGTGTATTTTATTCTACATCTGACATAGTGATACAGGCACATACTGTATAACTCCCAACCTGCTAGATGTCCCAGACTCCCACTTTGTGTTCCCCGAAATCAAAGAATGAATTCTGAGGAACAGACTAAGAAATTTTCTCAAGGGCGAGCGCTCCTGAGAGAGACAGGAGGGGACTCGGAAAGTGGGTTGCCACAAGCCCACTTTTAAAGTAAGATTTATAGAGCAAAATTGCAAGGTGGGTACAAAACCACGAGGTAGATACATGGTGGGAGAAAATTGATCAAAACTGATCAATCAGTAAGATTACAAGTACAGCCGCTTAGGTAATGTTGGTACAGTGGGAAAGCGGGTCATGTAGGTCATATACCAACGGTAAAGGGAAAGAACAGGGACCTTTTTCAGAAGACATAAATTAGTAGGTTGCATCACCAACCTGATGACTGATGTCTTTTTTTGTTTTTTTGGTATTGGGGATCAAACTCCTGACCTTACAAGCACTTGAGCCGCTGAGCTAAATCCCTGGCCTGTCTTTTTTTTTTAATTTTGTCTTTTTGAGACAGGGTTTCACAGTGTAGTTCAGGTTGGCCTTGAACTCACTTTGTGACCCAAACTGGCCTTGAACTTGCAGTGATCCTCCTGCCTCAGCCTCCTGAGTGCTGGGATTACAGGTGTGTGCCCCATGTCTGACCTGCTTATTTAAAATATTGATCATTATTGTTTATCCTTCAGGGAGATGTGTAGATGTAGTCATTTTATCTTTATCTTGAGGCCCGGCTTTCAACAAATGCACCAGCGGCCTCAGTTGTAATGGATCCCCTTTCTGCACTGACTCCTTTGAGGGCCTACTCCTGTCTGACTTCCTATAATATTTCTACCTAGCTTAGCTATCTATAATGCATTCGCAGGTATTTCTCAAGTACCCTACAAAATCAACCCAGACTGGGGCATGTTGGAAAGACTTTTTGTAGGAAGCATGGAGAGGACAACCCAGATGGGCAAAATAGACTGGCAAAGGGATGAATAGGAGTCCTGGCCTAGCCCAGCAGCTATGATAATATGTCACTCAGGCTGAAGGGCAGAGCAGGAGCAGGATTGCAAGAGGCCATCATGTGGAATCAGGACCCAAGCACAAAGGAGTCTGGGCTTGACACCTAGGGCAGGAGTTGCTCCAGGATATAATGAATGTGTTGGGTGTGGTGACTGTGTCACGGGGTATCTGGCCTGCACAGATGGAGAAGATTTCTTTCACGTGGAAGCAGCTGGGTGAGAGTTGACCACGCCAAAGCTAAACAAGTAAACAGCCATCAGTTCATCTCACAATTTTTGTGGGTCAGGAATCTGGAAAGAGTCTCACTGGGTCTTTTGGCCCAAGGTCTTTCCAAGGACAGTGATTGTGGTGTCAGCCAGAGCCAGTCAGCTGACAGCATGACGGGGAAAGGTCCCTTCCAGGCCACACACACAGCTGGTGGCGGCCGGCAGAGGTCCTCAGGTCAGCCGAAGCCTTGGGGTCCCTGCCCAGGAGGCCACTCGGTCAGGAGGTCCGCAGCACAGCAGCTGGCTTCCCAGTGAAGGTAAGAGGAGACAAAAGGCACAGCCTGCCCGCAGGCCGGTCTGGGAGGCACAGCTCGTCCCTCGCCCGTGTCTCCAGAAGCCAAAGGACGAATTCAAAGACAAGGAAGGAGAGAGGAAGAATGTTTATTAAGAATGGAGCAACAGGGCCGGGGATATAGCTCAGCAACACAGCACCTGCTTGGCGAGCACAATAAGATAAAACAATAAATCAAAAGAAATAGCTCCCAACATTTGGGAGACCCAAAAGTAAGTTGTCAGGAAGACTCTTTTAAAAATTTTTTTGTTTATTTTAAATTTTATTGGTACATGTTAGGTATGCATAATGATAACATTCATCAGAGGGTTTTTAAATTTTTTCTTTATTTTTTTTCACCGTGGAGCACTGCTACATGGCATGTCTTTTCTTTTTCTGTTCCCTTTCTCTCCTTTCAACCCATCTCCTCCTCCTTACTGACAAAAGCTTTGTTTCCATTTTCCCTTCTATTCTGTTTTTCTCTCGTCCCTCCTCCTCCCTTGTTCTCTTTTGCATTTGAACATTTTCTTCCCACTTCTCAGTATCTGGTGTGCACTTTGGTCCCTGTTCATACTTTTGGCTTCTCACCCCAGAGAAACAATGAGGGTTCACACATGCGTGCCCAACTTATTTCACTTAAGAATATGGTTTCAAAGTGCATCCATTTAGCTAGAAATCTCTCGTTTATCTTTTTTATGGCAGAGTATTAAGCCATTGCATAAAATAGCCCATTTTTTATTCATTTATCAGTTGATGGGCAGTTGTTTCCAAGATATAGCTATTATAAACTATGCTGCTATAAAATGTGGGTGTGCATATATCACTGTGAAGTTTTTAATTATTTTAGGAAGATACTAAGGAAAGTAGCTAGAACTGTAGTTTTAGGTTTTTTTGGTTTTGTTTTTATCTTTTTGAGACGATATCTCACCGCGCAGTTCAGGCTAATTTCAAACTTGCAGTGATCCTCCTGTCTCAGCCTCCCAAATGCTGAAATTACAGACATGTGCCCACACGGCTGGCTTTAGTTTTAGTTTTTAGGACTCTCCACACTGATTGCCCAGGGGTTGCACCAGTCTACACTCCCACCAGCAGTGGAGAAGGGTTCCTTTTTCCCCACATCCCTGCGGCATCTGTTATTGGTTGATTTCTGGGTAAGAGCCATTCTTTCTGAAGTGAGATGGAATCTCAGTGTTGTTTTAATTTGCATCTCGATTGACCAGTGATGTTGAACACTTTTTCATTTATTCACTTGCCATTTCTACTTCATTTGAGAAGCCAAGGGGACTCTTTGTCTAGGAATTTTTATACCAAAAAAATGACCAAGGCCTCAGAGCACTCTGAGTCAAACTAAGCTCAGCCTTCAGAACTAAAACAAGCTTAAATTAAAATATAACCCAATGAGTGGTGCTGTGTAAGCATATGTCCTTGGCCTCTATCCTATCAGAGTGGTTCAGCAAAAGGACAAAGTAAGAAGGAAAAATTGTTTTCCAGACAGGTAAGTGCAGAAGTTGTCATAGTAACCTGCTCCTTACCATGCTGTTTACATCCCTGGACTCAACTGCTCACCTTAATTATTCTTGGTAAGTCCGACGACCTCAGGCAGGAGCCTGCTGACCTGGTCATCCTGGCTCTGTCCCTGGCCACTGCCCCTGGCTGCCTGCTGCCTCCTGCTGTCTCTCCTGTCTATAACACCAAGTCCACTGACCCCGGGGAGGGGACAGACGGGGAATGAGCGCCAGTGGGTGCCTGTGACTACCCCACAAGGAAGAGGAGACCTCGTGACTGAAAGGTGAAGGCTTCTTCAATGTCATATTGAGGAGAATAGCAGGCAAGGACAGAAAGGGAGAGGCCAGCACCACCGAAAGATCTGACCGATGGCTGGACCACCAGTGATTCCCTAGGTCTGCATATTGGGAGAAACGTCCCAACTTTAAGACCAAAAATAACAAACCCATCATGCAACAAGAAAGCAACAAATTTTCAGTGCTTAAAACATGCAAGCGTAACTTCTAATGGATGAAACTGAAGTTTTGCTGTTTACGTGGAACACGAGACCAATGAAAGCCCGGGAGTCATCAGTGGTCGATCAGATGCAGCAGGGAGAGAGGACAGTGAAGTCCGGGGAAGGCCAGTGGGCTCGGAGGCTGCGCGTGCTGGCTGTGCACACACCGTGTGGGAGAAGCACCCCGGCTGCTTCCCGGTCACGGCTCCCGTTTCTGTCTCTCAGGCCCCGAGTCCTTTGCATTCATGGCTTTCGAGTCCTTTGACTTTGACAGAAAGGAAAAAGCACATTTTACACAGCAACTGCTGTGCACGTGCTCACATGTAGAGAATACGTATCCGTGGTGTTTTTAGTTGTTTTTGTCTTTAGTTTTGTGCTGAGGAACTCCTGCATGCCAGGCAAGGGCTCTGTCCCTCACCTACCTGTCCCAGCACTAACATGAAAACAATACCCAGAGCCAGGAACATAGGCGCAAACCTGCAGCCCCAGCATCTGGGAGGCTGAGGTGGCAAGACCACAAGTGTAAGACCAGCCTGGGCTACAATGAGTTCAAGGTCACCTTGAGCTACACAGTGAAGTCTTTTTTTTAAAGCAGTACTGGGGATCGAACTCACGACCGCCTGCTTGCAAGGCAGGTGCTTATGCCGCTGAGCTAAATCCCCAGCCCCATACGCAGTGAAATCTTATCCCCCCCCAAAAAAAAACCCTACACAAACCAAAACCAAAACCAACAAATAACAGGGAACAAACCCTCCCCAAATATACTTACCCTGATTGTATTCTGTACACAAAGACATGTTACAGAGCCTAGAGCTGTGCATATATCAGGCCATCGTTCAACCATTCAGCTACACTTCCAGCATCCAGTTTTTAAAAATTGCCACCTGCTGGGTGTGGTGGTGCACGCCTGTAATCACAGTACTCAGGAAGCTGAGGCAGGAGGATCAGTGTGAGTTCCAGGCCAGCCTGGGCTACACAGTTAATTCAAGGCCAGCCTACACTGCACAGTGAAACTCTGTCTCAAAAAGACAAAACAAAACAAAACAAAACCACACACACAAAAAAAATCCCAAAAGAGTTTAAATAAAATGTTCAAAAAATGATTTTAGTGATGGTTATGCAACTATGTGAATCTATCAAAAGCCAATAATTTGTGTACTGTACATTTTTTTTAACTTTTTTTTTTAGCCTCTTTTTCCCTTGCTCTTTGTAGTGATTTATTTCTTTTTTTGGAACCGGGAATTGAACTTACAACCTCGTACTCGCCAGGCAGGTGCTTATGCCGCTGAGCTAAATGCCCCTGTGTGTACTGTAAATTTTGTGGTATGACAGTTGAATAAGCTGTTAAAAGTTTAGGGCTAAATAGAAAACAAAAGAAAAGAAAAAGACAGAAAAAATAAAAAAGAGTT